TGTGTGTGTGTATGTGTGTGTGTGTGTGTGTATATATGTGTGTGTGTGTGTGTGTGTGTATGTGTGTGTGTGTGTGTGTGTGTATATATGTGTGTGTGTGTGTGTGTGTGTGTATGTGTGTGTGTGTGTGTGTGTATGTGTGTGTGTGTGTGTGTGTGTGTGTGTGTGTGTGTGTGTGTGTGTGTGTGTGTGTGTGTGTGTGTGTGTGTGTGTGTGTGTGTGTGTGTGTGTGTGTGTGTGTGTGCACTATCATGATCTCCTCTGTGTGGTTCTGGATGTAGAAGTTCCACTGCTGTCAGGTTTTGAAAAGAAATACTGCAGAATTCAGTAATTTGCATGTATTATTCCTCAAAACTATGAAAATTCAATTCATATTTGTGAACATGAACAGTTTTTTTCCCCACAGACCTGAATCCAAAACCCCCAAATCCGTGGCACCGAGATCTACAAAATGTGTTTCAACTCCAGTTACAATGTTGGGAACCTGACTCATTTTCTCCCTTGTTCTCCACAATTCTCCCAGAGTTGAGTCTCTTTCTCTAGCCTCTCTTTGAGTAGAAATTCACAAATGTCAAATTCAGAGAGGTCAAGATTCATCTGTTATTTGTTTGAAATGAGGCCTAATAATGAAAGCTCACTGGACCATAGGATATATATTCTGAATTCTGTGGTATCACCTTCTAACTTGTGTACATTTCACTGCAGCGTGCAAACACATGATGTATATATTTACCTGATGCATTCTTATAATGGATTTAGCGAGTGGTTTGTGCCACTATTGTACCATGGGACTGCCTCCAGAGAAACTTTTCTATCTATACATTCCAAGTGGATGCCTTGACTCGAGCCTTCTGTTACAGACTGAGGGAGACAGTTGTCATAGGAGGTCTTTGCAGTGCTTGTAAAGCGGTCTCCATTATATTGTTCAGTGAGAACAAACTGGACAGGATGATTACATGGAGGCAGCAGGCTACCTACTGTGTGGGAACCCTTTTCTTATGGGCTTCATGTGATGGCTGGAGTTTGAGTCTGTGTTTTATATGTATATGTGTATATATATATATATATATATATATACAGTATGTATATGTATGTATATGTATATATATATATGTATATCGCCTTACAACATTTCAACATATTTTATAGGACAAAAGGAAACGTGTGTTACCAGAACGAGACAATCCACGCATTTTTCACATGACCATCAGAAATACGCTCAGGCCTTTTGCGAAAGGGACATGTCCTCCAGTGTCTTTTATGTATTGGCACAGTTCCTTGGCCTGTCGTCACTTTGTCATTCGCAACTTTCAGTATGTGCTTATGTATAAACACAACTATTTTGACACTTTGAAGGACACGATATTATTTAAGACCCTCATTGTAGAACTTCACACTATATAAAAAATATGAATTAAGCTGCTCCTCTTGTGTTAACCTGGACTACCTGATAGAAAAAATAAAAACCTTGGACAGGGTTAAGAAACGTTAATTATGTAGACTTTTCATTGACTCCTTAGCAGTTTTTTTTTCTTCCATGCAGCTTAAGTAAATAACACATATACTCATAAGCTGAATGCTTAAAGGCAGAGGGGAAGCTTTCGGCAACATTGTGCTATTTTTTTTTTTTTTGTCCGTCTTCTCTTGAGTTTCACCTCATTTATATCTTGGCCCGTTAAGTGAACATGATTTAAACATTCCAGTGAAAGTTTAAGAAATGTAACTTCACTTCGGGCAGTTTGAAGATAACCATTTTAAGTTGGTTGGCTTTTGTATGAGTGTGTTGGTGTGAGTGAAGAGTGCCACCCTTCATATTTCAGATTTACTACTGCATTAGCTTGCTATCCCTAGCCATTACTATCAGAATTAGATATTTTGTTGTAATGTGTTAGTTTCACCCTCGTTCCTAAGACGAATTGATCAGAAGGATATTGTGTGTTCAGTGTCTCAAAGTGGTTTTTATTGTATGCCTTGTAAAAGTGATGGTGGGGTAAATGCTGTAAAAGTAGTGTTTTGACAAGGTGGTCGTTGAACAAATAGTCGTCGTAATTGGTTTTGCACTGTTACATTGATATGCACTAACGGAAGAGAAACATACCTCATTTTATACGGAACATAAATTGTGCAGGAGTGCTATTGTCCTTTGGGTACCTTTTCAAAACTAAAAAATGGCCAAAAGAATTATCTCAACATGGTAGAGGTATCTCAAACCAGCTGAATAATATTAATTTGTAAAAGTTTAAAAGGGCTGTTCAATTTTTATGGCTTAAAATGAAAGTACTTTTCTTAAAATATAGTACCACTTCAATAGAACTTGCTGCAGCAATTTGATAGATTCAGGTTAGTGGTACACCTCTACCAGTACAAAGGCCTGAGTACCAGCACACGGCTCATAGATGACGAGGAAGATGTGAATTACAACAAATCATAGATGGACGTCATTTGAATGGAACAGAAGCAGTTTTTCTACAAAGAACGTTCAGAAAATGTGTAGCCAACACTGGTACTCTACTCAGTCAGCAAAAAATGTGTGTGCACCCTCAATTCAGGTAGTTCTTTTTCCAGTCCAGAGTCCATTTAACTACACTACTTTCCATAAATACTTTTAAACTTTGACTAACAAAAAAGGGGAAAGGCTGCTTGCGAAGGCTAGAGTGTGTCATCTATGTGGCAGAGGGAAATGTTCATTCTTGCTGTATGAGACACACATACAGAGTGCTGAACAACCTAAAGGCAGACATTTTCTTTAATGCAACGTCAAACTCCGAGTTTGTGCTTGGTGGTGCATGCATAGTGTGAACTAAGAAGTTAGGCAGTGTAAAATTAACTACCCCGAGAACATAATTCCCGCTGTATGGTCAGTTGTTTGTATTTCACATAAAACATACAAGCAGAAGGGAAGTGTTTGAGAATAAGGGAGGTTACTCATTTGTGTTGATTTCAATGTTCATCTATTTACATAAATGACCAAATGTATGTAGCCTTTCACATAATGTATATGTATATACAGTATATATATATATCAAAATGCCTTATAGACAAGGGACATTCAACCCGATTAGAAGTACCAGGATAATAAAAGACTAAGATCAACAGTTGCCTTGTTTGTAATGAGCTCTAATCACTCTGAAGACAACCTGACAAGTTTGATCAGATGAATCAAACTTCGGGGTCAACAAATCACATCGGAACATTAATCCGGCCACGACCAGGGGGGGGGGGGAGAGACAATTAGCAAAAGTAATACTCAGTTTTTTGTAATTTAATCAAGCTTTATTAAACACTTCTGACAGGTGTGTAGGCAAGTGTGATAAACCATGCATCGCACACCAGGATGTGTTGGTCCAACCATAAAAAAGACAAAATTCATAAATTAAATGAAAAACTACAACTGAAACGGGTGAAAAAGCAAGATGGAGCTTTACGGTGATTGTTTAGTCACAGCTGACTGTTTGCTCCACGTAAGCGTCGACCTTTTGTAGTTTTAAACATGCAATTTCATACTGTGTGCTGAAACTTTCTGCGAGCTGTCAAAGTACTTCCCGCTTGTATCACAAGGTTAAATTTTGTACACCGTCCCAACATGTGATTAACGAACTGTGAACTGACTGAGAAAACCAAACTGCCAGAAATCAACATTTAAACAGAATCCTTGGAATAACAATGAGCAAATAAAGTGTGATGGTCCTTTCAGGTCTCTACCACTATTGAATGCTCGGTAGTAACAGATTTTAATGTCAAATTTTATTTCAGACAGGCCTGTATGCAACTCAACTCACGGCCTGTAGAGTTTTGTTGCAATGCAGGCTAGTTTACAGTTTGACATCGCAAATCCAACTACTTTTTACAAAACATGACATCTACAAGTATAACTTTAAAAAAAAAAAAAAAAAAAATATATATATATACTGTCATCTGTTTCCTCACAGAGAAAAAATCCAAATGAGTAAATGAACCCTGACATTTAATGCACTCTAATACACTAAAATAAGACATCACACAGGACTGCTGAGTGCGACACTATGCTATTGAAAATATACATACAACACTCAGGAGAGGTTCATAACATCACTTGAAAACTTGTTACAAAGACCCGGGGCTGTACAATATCTTCCTAAATGTGGGCCGTTTAATGGTAACAGCAGAACTGTCAGGAAAACCTTACATCAAGGTAAACACTTGTCTATACAAAATAAAATAGTGTTATCAACCTCGTGGCTACAAACAAAAACACTTGATATTCTAAAAAAGAGAGTTCAGAAAAATCTTTAAATTTGTGGGTGCTTTAAAGTGGCAGAATTTGGATGCAGCTAAAACTGCCGCGGCGTTCCTTTGAAGGGCTTGAATCCCCCCGCGTTGCCACCACTGGGGATGGAGCTGTTGGTGATCTGTACAATACGGTTCATTCCAGACGAAGAGTGACTGCACAAAAAAGAAACAAAACACAAATGTAAAAACGCTGCGAAAAGGGGTCATACTACTCAGTTTCGTCATCACTTTGTAAGTTCGGCATACCTCGAAGGAGCCATCATGCTGCTCCGGCTGTCTCCCATTCTGCGATTATCAGGGAAGCCCCCCCCCTGGGAGCTTGATCCACCGTGCCACTCCTTCCTCAGGCCCTGGTCCCGGCTGTGACGCTCCACCACGACCTGGCGGCCAGAGCTGAATGGCTGCCGAGACACAAGATTGGCATCTGTGAGCTACAGCTGAAGACGAACACTTTGTTGTTGAAATTTAAAGCGTATATGTATGCGACTTAATTTACAGGAATGGACCCCCATTTCATCGATAACACTGGTACACTATCAACAATTATTATACGAGTCATTGAAATGTAAAAAAAAAAAATGTTTACTCATTCCCAGTTTAGAGGAATGTCTTCAAACTGCTTGTGCAGATGGTGCAGCTGATTTCAGCACTAGCTGACTTCCTAAAGAATTAAGATAACCTTTAAAAAAAAAAAAAAAAAAAGTATAATATGCAGCAATTTCCACAAAAACAATTTATGGACTGATACAAAAAAAGAATCCCTCTTGATCATCACTTACAACCCACTTTAAGTGTGTGGTGGTGTCTGCATCTATAGAGACCCGGTTCTCTGCCTGTATTCTCTTTTGTTATTATTTAGCCGTTTTCAGGACAATTCCGGGCATCAGCAAAGAGGATTTGGACCACATGTGGTGGTGTAACCCCCAGCCAATGAGCAGGGTGTGTAGCCCGTTCTTATTCCCAGGTCAAACACCGCCGCTTTGTCACAAAGTTTTAGTCTGGAGGTAGGCTGACCTGATTACTCATCACAATGGGTCTCCCTCCGTCTCGATCATTAAAGCTGCTCCTCCCACGGTTGGCCGAGGTGCCTCCTCTAAGTACTGGGCCTGGACCATCTCTGCCTGATCGCTCTGCACGCATGCGCATGGGTCCTCTGGTCAACCCAGCATTACTGCAGGCGAGAGATTTAAAACAAAAGACATTAGCTTTCACCGTTTGTTGGGGGGGGACACAACTGATGATGCTCAAAAACTGCATTATATTTTTCACCGTATGTCTCCCTTGTTGGAGTTCATGCCACCATCGTTCTTCCATCCATGCCCTCCATCCCTGGGTGAGCGGTTGTGCGACATGGCAGGCATTGCAGCTCTGGCTCCCATAGGGCGATCATGCATGGGCACAGGCCGCCTCTCATCTCGGTCCCTGCGGTCGGTATCCCGGAGTTCGGCACGTGGAGGAGGCGGCGGCTCAGCTCTGCGAACCGTTTCAAAGCTCTTCGGGTAGCGCTCAAAGCCAGAGCTCTCTCTGTGAGGAGCAGGGCGACTCTTCTTTACCTCCGGCTCACCGTCAAACCGGTTACGTCTGGCAAAGAAAGACCGACATGGGATTAGTCACATCACAAATAAACACCAATTACTGTCTCATGATTAGACCCGTCTGTCCAAAATATTATCACTTCATTATTATGTCCCATTTAACATTAGTGTTAAATTGTCATAATTAGCTTATTAGTTCTTGAGTTATGGCCAAAAAACGTGTTTTGTAGGTTCAAAGTGATGTTTCACCAATTGGCATAACACCTTGAGGCAGTAAATCTAGTTTTTAAATTACCCAGACGTGGTCTTCCTACTGTGACAGGTCAAAATATAGTCTGTAAAAATAATATTGTTGACACAATCGACTACCTCGATTCGTATTGGTCCATCACTTGTACCTGTCATACGTGTTGGGCTGCTCGGCAGCAGCCTCTGGAAAGCGACCCCTCTCTCTGGGAGTGAAGTTTGAAAAGCGGTTCTGTTGTCGGTTGTAGTTGGAGCCTTGGTTCAGACGGACATCAGACTCAGACTGCATCTTCTTGTTGCCGTTCCAATAAGAATCGTCCCTCCGCCTGAAACATTAAATATAGCATCACATCTACCGCCTCTACACAGGGAGAGCGACTTCATTCTCTACTCAGACGTATTCCACCATATCTTCACATAGCAAATTGTTGTTTGCTGCTTTATTAATACTTTGAACATTGTATGGAGAACCTTTAACCACAACATTGGGTTTGTATAGAAAAGGTTGATGCGTTGATGTAAATGTCTCCTGGTAAAACCTCCATCACTGCCATTGAGCCGCAAAACAAAGCCATTAGGCTGCAATAAATTGAAAGAACTACAAGGGTTTTTTAACTTGGGTCATAGTCACACCACCATGAAACCGCCGAGGGTAAAACATTTAAATCTTGTGTATATACCCGTGTTCCACCTCACGGCCCCTTTTGAGGTTGTTTCTCTTTTCTTGCTCATAACGGAGCTGCTCCTGCTGCCTTCGCAGCTCCTCACGTTCACGAACCATACGTTCCGCCTCTTTACGCCGTTCCTGAAAGAGGTCGTGGAAAAAAAAGAAAAATTGCACCAATTAAAATGACTGCGAAAGCTGGATATCATTATACAATCACAAGCAGTCGGAATACATGTACTCAAGTACATTTTGAGTAAGTCCTTTACATCTGGATACATTCATTGCACTATTTCCATTGATTATTTCATGCATTAATTAAGCCACGTAGTCTCCTGCTGCAGCCCCGCCCCCACACGACTCTGTTGAAGGCAGCACGATCGGCTCTCTGTACCTGCTCTATACGGATTCTCTCTCTCTCAAGCCTCTCCCTCTCCAAGCGCTCCCTCTCCAGTTTTTGCCTTTCCATCTCAAGTCTCTGGCGCTCCCGGAGCAGGTTCTCCCGTTCTTCACGCTCTCGTAACAGACGGACGCACTCACGCTCCCTGCGTTCTTGTTCGGCAATTTCACGCCGCCTAAAAGACAAGAGAAATCCCTCCGCTTAGAACTTTAAGACAATACAAATATATATTTAAAACTACAGGCTATAGCAGCCTACCTGCGCAACTCTACGGCTCTGCGAACGCGGTCAACTCGAGCCACCCGTTCACGCATCCTTTGCTCCTTCATCTTTTCAAACGGCAGGATGTCATGTTCTTCCCCCTTGTTCATAAAAGGTCGCTGTTTGAATCTCATCATATCCAACTGGAAGAGGGAAAATAGAAATTAAAGTTAAAAAGAAAATGCTCAAAAAAAAAAAAAAAGTGGAGCATGTTAAAAGTCAATATTATACTAAGCATCATGTTCATCAAGAGTATGTACCTCTTCAGGAGGAATCAACCATTTTGGCCTCCGTTGAATGTTCATGTGCGCTGGGACAAAGGGCTGGGAAAGAAAGGATCAAACGGACTCTCATTTAACATCCTCTGGTGGCTAATTAACAACATGCATTGAAATATAATTCAATCAAAGACGAATAAAATGTCTTACTTTATCAAAATACCGTCCCCTTCTAAAAGGTCTCATTTTGCCAAAATTATTGTCTCCTTTGGGATGATGTAAAACGACCATCTTGCCTGGGCTCTTCATGCCTAGAAGAAAATGAATTAATATTCAGGGAGGACAGGCGTATACTTGCATATACTCTAAATCAGAGATGTGTGAATTAAACCTACGTCCATGCTTTCGGTCATCTTTCTTCAAAGAATCTTGCCCCAAGTTACATGAAACGGACTCAGATTTTCCACTTCTTGCGTCCTGTTTCTTGGACAAATCTTTGTCCTTTTCTGAGAGTTTATCAAACTTCTTATCCTCTTTTTTGTAAGATGGCGGTGCTCTAAACATAAAGAGAACCAAATGTTAGGTGTGCTTTCAATCCACATAGAATTAAGTTTACATCTTTTTCTGTCACCCACTTGTTGGGCAGTTTTATCCCTGTAGAACTGCGCTTATCACTGGATTTGGTGGAACTTGCTTTGTCCTCGGCTTCCTTCTTTGAGCCCTCTTTCTTGAACGGATCATTTTTGGCCTGAAAACGGCAGCAGGACAATAAAAATGACACAGGGCCACATTTCTTTCCATAAACACAGCAGATTGCATTCGACCAATCGGGCTCAAAACCAGTTTGACTCGACATCTCCCTCCCAACTCACCCTTTCCACATATATCTGCTGTCCGTGGAGCTCTGTACAGTCGAGGTGGGAGACGCACCGCGTCACCTCTGTACTTGAAGACATGGTCACCAAGCCGTAGCACTTTGAACCAGGACTGCGAGCATTTGTAACCACCTTGGCACTCAAAACCTGTTGGCAACAAATTTCAACATTTTTCTATGACACTGGCCATATAGGAAAAGTGAGTTTCAGATATATTCAAAATAAGAAACAACGAATTCATAAAAAAAACTGCACTTGTTAATTACCTTTCCATATTTGCCAAACAGGTTCTTTAGGACAGCTGCTTTGGTGTTTGAAGACAGGCCGCTCACCCATATGTTACGAGAAGAGCTGCTGTTGCTGCTACAGCTGACGACTCCTGATGAAGAGATTTTCCAAAACACATTCGGCAGTCATTGGGTATGAAAAATATTGCATCACGTTGAATGAAATTAGTTTGGGTTTTATACATTTCTAACATGTGGAGATAATTCTTACCCTTTTCATCTTTTGCAGCTTTTCCATCTCTGTCTCTTGAAGAGCTACAAAGCAAATGTAACAACAAATGTAAAATGAGCGAATGTAACTAAATCCAGCTGTTAAGTGACAGGCATACATCTAGTTGAATAGAAACACCATATTCTGTACTGTTCAGAAAAGAAAGAAAAAAAAAGTCCTGTGGGCAAGGCGTGGATCTGAACCAATGTCTCGAAGGCTTCATTGCTTTTCCAGTGGTGAGATGGGTCAGGTTGACAGCCAATTTATTCCCTGGACCAATGAAATCTTCGGAGGTTTGTTCAACTTCACAGCGAATCATTTGACCAAGAAGAAGAAAAAAAACACTGCCATTTCGGGTACTAATGCTCTTTTACAATGCCTTTTGTAGAAACTGGAAATGGCTTTAAAAACTGCTGCAAAGGCCAAAGTAACAAAATAAGAGATGTTTTCTCAGCTCCTGGTTAATATCACAATTTAACCAACTTCAGAAAAACAAATCAGTAGTAATTGGCAGGATTAGGTACACCAGTGAACATTTCCCTTATGGCAGAAAAATCTTGAGGCTACCCACAATGTTGCGTTCTTAGTGAGCTGGACTTGAATAACTGACATAGAAAGACAAACCTCTTTGCTTGACCTGACGCCCCAGTAGCGGAGGGGCCTTTCTTCCCAGAATCCTTTTCTTTGTCTCCCATTTCAGCTTTCTTCAGGCCCTCTCTGCCATCTTTCTTCATGGGATCACTCCGGGACCCATCATCTTTCTTACCATCTTTGTGGCCCTCGCTCTCTTCCACCATCATGTCATCATCTCGGACCGTCTCAGCAGAGGCCTCTGGCTCATCAGTGCCCTTCTCGGCCTCTGGAAGTTTCACATGTTTACCTGTTTCCAGGAGGTCATCACCATCAACATCTAGGGTGATGGCGTCATCATTTGGGATTGAGACGGAGAGGTGATCGTCCTCAGCTTCTTTAGAGGAATTCATGGCTTCATCATCCATCTCAGCCAGTTTGGTCTTAAGCTCTGGCTCCGCCTCCCCATCCGTGTCTGGGTCGGCATCCTCATCCACCTCTGGGTCGGCGTCCTCATCCGCCTCCTCTGGGTCGGCCTCAGACTCAGCATCCACCTCTGGGTCAGCATCCTCATCCACCTCTGGGTCGGCCTCAGACTCAGCATCCACCTCTGGCTCAGGCTCTGAATCTGTCTCAGCCGCCACAGCTTCTGACTCCGGTTCAGCCTCAGCCAGTTCCTCAGCCTCAGGCTGAGCAAGGCTGTCCTCACAGGGTGCAGGCTTAGACTTTTCACGAGTACCATCATCTGTATCAGTTACATCTGAGGGATTTAACAAGGATAAACATGGCAAAACACAACTTTTAGCATTGACATGTCGCATGTTACTCGACCTAAAAGTAGAATAGAAAGCACATTTAGTGTTAATGTCATCGAGGGCGTAGACACCACAGGAAGACACAAAACACACATTCTTCACGGAAACCGGGGGATGTTTCAGTGGTCTTCATTTCTTGACACACGTTATGTTCTTGAGTCATAATTCATACTAAAACGTGCAATTCCAGATGCTTCCTACAGTCTGTGGCAGTTCTCCAGGGAGGAATCTTCTGGCAAAGTTCAGATGAGGTAGAGGAACTCATCAGTTCATCCTTCAGGTTCTCTTCCATTGCGCAAAATACATCCCCAGCTGATCAGTCCATGTAAAGACATTTAAATATCTTCCAATATTTCTTCAATAATCAACATCAGTGTGTCATCAGGTTTTCAGAGCACTCTGAAAAAGTATCTTTCATCATCAAAACGAAGGAAAAGTCTGTCCCTTTGGTCACAAGTCTGTCCTTCCAGTCCCAGCCCATGGTGCATGTCACATCTCTTCACTGCGGTCACCTGGCAGGAATATGTGCAATTTTGATGGATGTTGCCTGCAATGTATGAAGGCTTCTGATCTTTCAGTTGCCCTCCTGACTCGAGGCGTCAGCATCTTGACAAAGTGGAGGAGTCTCGTGATCCTAGCTTCATTCACAGGCCATCTCACCTGACAAAACCTGTAATAAGGGGTCCGATTCCTGAGGCGAGGGTAGCGAAGAATTCAGACCTGCCAATTGCACCCGTCAGTCCACCACTACTGTCGATCAAAATGTCAACAGGAAAGTGCAATGATCCTCGAGTTCAACGAGTTGTTGCTTCTTCCAATTCATTGGACATAATAAAATGTCAGCTTGTTTGTGAACCATGCCTCTTACGTTTCCCTGGGGATGGGAAGTTGAATACCATAGGTGATGGAAATCCACAGCAGCAATAAATAGAGTAATCCACAAAAAATGGGTACCTGAGTCAAGGCAACTCTCATCCAATACGTCATGTGTGGACCAATTACAAATAACTGGAGAAATGTATTCATTAAGCATTTCCTTGATTCTTTCTTAGCACATGGTGACCTATATAGTGCAGTAGCTAGCAGAAGCATGAAATACCATGAGATGTTATGCATTCGACCAGGTCTTGTCATCATAAATGTAAGCTGTAAAGAAGAAACAACCTAATGTTAGTGTTGGGAATTAGCTCGCCAGCATATCATACATACCTTTTTCAGATTCATATTCTTCAGTTTCCTAGAAAAGAAAACACGGAGGTAAGATAACAAATATGTAGTTACAGCAACAAAAGGGCGGTTATAACTGTTAACAGACTTTCCAAAGGTTCTTTATCCAAACGCTAACTTAAGGTATATCTATCCATCTATACACACACGCTGTCATGTTAAACTGCTGACAAATACATTGGCTAAGTCACTTCCCCAATAGTTTACAGAACCACGTGGAGGAAGTTTCAGCCAGTGTGAATTGAGGTCATGGACCAACTTGCATTCAGTTAGTGTTAAATATATCTCAGCATGTTAAGTCTCAACCGTTTTGTGTTAAAAAAAAAAATAAAAAAAAAAAAAATAAAAAAAATAAAAAAAAAATCGGTTCATCTCTACAGAACAGCAACAGAGAAACATTTAAGAGAAATCTATGGCGGTCACCTTGGACAGCACATCTTCCTCCCCCGTTGTGTCCGCATCAGAATCCACTTTTTTCCCTGACAGGTAAAATGTGGAAAGAAAATAAATAAAACATGTGGTGTTGCTTAGCCACACTATACCATCAATTAAATCAAAAGCAAGATTACCTTTAGCTTTCCCACCTTTCCGATTTGATGAGTCAGCTGAAAGCTGGATTTGAATATTTTCTGTGTCACCATCTTCATCCTCAAGGGCCTTAATTTTAAAAAAAAAATAAACATTTCAACTACTTTTCCCCCCAAGACAATCTCCTTGTTCATGCTGGACATCACCAATTGTCTAGTCAAATGCAAACTCATCTGCCAGGAAGATATAATAAACTGAGCTAGATATGATAAAAATATAAATAGTTTGTCTTGTTTGTTCATTCATCACATCAGTCTTGTGAAGAGAAGTGATGACCAATAAAACGGCACCACTCAACATTGTACTGTGCCTTCTTATAAGGCAGAAACAGCGGAGTTATAGATCTTAATGAACTTTGAGGTGTATTCCAATCAAAAAAGTAAAAAAGTGAGGTTCTTATAGATAGCTTTTGAAAGTGAATACGACATATTAGCACCCAAATATGTGTTATTATGGCTACATTTTTAAGTTTCAATCTGTCACACCTTTGATCTTAAACTGATGAAATCTAAAACAAAACAATTTAGATTAAATGGGGGGATTTGAGACTAACAATTCAATGACTCGCTATCTAACCCAAACACACCATTTCAACTTAATTGTGAATTTTATAATCCCTTCAAATATTTAGGCCAATTGCTATATTTTCAGACTAATCTATAGCATGTAATTTTTAACCCGCAAAATGTGTTCAATCTAAACTGTTAACGAGGCGAGTTTTGACACCACTACATCTGTTCATCAAGACGGTCCATTTCATCAATTAAATAATGTCGCCGTATAAATATTGAAATCATTTCGTCATAACCCAGATTTAACAAAACGCCTCTTAATCGTGATTAATCCAACAAATTATAGCCGAACAACAAAGCTGCTTAACTGACGTTATTTATAAAGCGCACGAGCACGTGCACACGGTCCTCCACGCAGTCAACAATTATCGTTAATGACGCTTCATTTAAACAGCTGAAGTCTAGCACGTGCAACCTGAACATTTAAATGAACATTGACTAAAACTTGACGTCGTAGCGCTGAGAGATATAGATTTCCACCCGTTGTGTTCGAGGAAGCGACAGACTACGCGGGCCTTCTTCACTTTACAGCATCACCTGCTCTTACTATTCATTCAAGCTCGAGGACCATTAGCTAACATTTCACTTTTCGACAGGTATATGTGCACGGAGCCGTTTATCCAGGCTGTAGTCACATTGCTAAACTAGTCCGCGGGCATTTCAACTTTTTAAGCGGTTAACCTGACAAAATAGCCTAACGTTCGGTCAACAACGTTAGCTAACGTTAGCTTTAGCAGCTCTGTATCGCATTGCTCGGTCACTCTTCCTCTGACAGATTAGCTTATTTTTTTTCTGGTTACCTGTCTCAATCTTGCAAGTAGAACGCTCTTTATACCGGAAGTGTCCAAATTCCTTCGTTTGAGCTCAGATTTTAAATCAACAACTCTTAAATCTGATATTTTCTTTGACTCAGTGGAAATGGCACCCGTCGCCATTTTACCTCCCCTACACCGAACCGTGCGCGAGCGCAGACCGTTTTCCCCTGCTTCTTCTGTGTCTCTGGTTTTATAGTCATTAAATGCCGCAACGCCACCTACTGTAGTGGGGGAGCCAGTGAACGAGTTGCCATATTGAAAACATACTAGTATTTCAGGGACAAAATTGTCTCCATTTAATTCAACCACGCGTTCGTTACCCAATTTAGTGAACAATAAAACAAGGGGAAACTGTATTCTTGACAGTGTTGAATCGCAGCTTGTATTCAACAAAGTTTCAGGTGGTTAAAGCCTTTTCATTACAATGGACGGAGGAGTGAGAAACTTGAGATATGCAGGCTGTGTTATTTATGGAATGCAATCTTGAGCAAATTAGGCCTAATGAAAATGTACAGTGACCTGCATAGTTTCCTAGTTGGTGCACATGTGTGCCCAGTTGTTGATTTTACACAGACTATATTCAGCTGCCTCTCTTGTTGGTCTCAAAAGACATATCGACTCTCCTCTAGACTGAATCCTAAACTTGATCAGTCTCACATAGCCTACTTGTAGGATGTAAATCTACTCTAACAAACGAGTGTTCTGAATATGCAATATTTTGCTTTGTTGCCCTGCACCTGCACTTTGTCAATCATGTGCTTTATAAATGACCAAGCTACTTCAACATTTGTGTGTGTAGGCCTAAATTTACTTGATTAAACCGACACTCCTATCGACAGAATTGCTTCCCTCTTCCATAATCATTTTATTTCCACAGAGCACCAGCAGTTTACTTTCCTTTCTTCTGTTGAGACAGAATCGGGCTCCTTAAATCTTCTTCAGCTCCATCTGTGAAGACTGCATCATGTCTCTGGTCAAGAGTGACGCAGACACCAGGTCAGTAATGGATTCAGTAATGTCTCTAATCGGATAATAAAATGCCATTACTCTCTGGATAATATCAAAGATGTTGCAGCAGATATGCCCTAATTATTCATCATAATAGTGATGATATTTTGACAACACTAAAAGACATGCAGAGACACATCAATTTTAATTCCATGATCTAATAAATCTCACATGTACAACCAACACTGTGATGTTTCACCCTAAATCTTGACCTCTCACTGAAACGTAATCATACTAAAACCTTGAAATAATTATATCTGCACGTTTATTACGTGTGATCAGGTTTATCTTATCTGCTAATTGATTGTTATCTTTTCTCTATATTTCAATTCCACCAAGTAAAACTCAGCAGTTAAAGTCAAAATTATTCAAATTAAATTATCTGTGAAGGGACAACCCCTCTCTGATTGAACTGCTCACAATGGTCACAGGTAGCTGTGGCTTCACTTTATTCACTGACATGTGTTGTAAAGACACCATGTTTCTCTGTAAACAGAACTCATTACTTAATCTGAGAGGGTTTATTGTAAATGAAAAATAACAGTGCTAATGACGTTTATGAGGTCTGGGATGTTCAAGTACTTATTTCTGCATTGTGTGAATATTCGTGGTAATGAGAAAAGTCAGTGTATGTGAGTGAGTGAGTTAAGGGATTTGAACCATCCAGTGGTTAATTGGTCGCCATCACTCTCATACCTTGTAGTCTGGAAGGGGTGTGTGTTTTATATATAACCAACCCTTGGTAGGATTAGTTGCTTCTGTTCAGACTGCACCCTGGCCAATACAGACTCGTTCTGTCTTTTATTATCTCTAAATGTTCAACTTGAAGCAGTTCAGCTGAAGTTGACGATTAAAATCTTAATAAATGTAATGTCTAATGTTTCATTTGTCAGGCATATTTAATTAGAGATTGTGCCTTTCGATTATTAGTATGGATAAAACTATTTTTTGTAATTAGACATTCTTGATGTTCTTGTATTTGGGTTCAATCGCTGGCTCTAGTTTTGTCTCCACACGTCAGACACATCCGCTAGTGGGTGCGCCAGTATTTGGAATAGAGGATTTAGGATTTAGTAAAGTGATATATGCAAAACAATGATGGATGAATTTCTACTATTACCTGTACATAGGTGTATAATTACACAGATCTTATCGTGCTCTTTTGTCGACACGTGTCCTCTCAACATAAGTCTTTTTTTTTATCTACCTCTTCAAAAAGCAAAAGGGATTAAGTCAAGCTGTCGTAAAGTAGCTGAAGATTGGCCGCGATCTGGCGCCCCCGTGCGGCGGTCAGGACAACTACCCTTTGGATCCGAAGCCAGCGAACAGACGACCTGCTGGGTAAACAAGAGTGGATGCATCGAGAGGCAGGAATGGCAACTTCGTCGAGGGCGAATAGTGAGACATTTCTATCTTGTCAAACAAAAACACAATCGAGAGACCGTACCACCTTTTAAGATTCCACAGGATTCCTTTGCGGGTCGAAATGGCTCAGTTTAATCGGGTATTCGCTGAGTGAAGTGGGACTAGCCTTCGCGTTAGCTTAGCTCGTAGCCATCCAGGGCCCATTGCCTTCGAGTTTTGCTTCTCGGCTCAGCTCGGGACTGTGTTGTCAGTTTCACAATCGGAGCCACTAACGTCCTCGGATCGCGATGTCTTTGTAGGCCTGCCTAGTTGCATTTAGGATTAGCATTTCGATGAATGCTCGCTTTCAACGTCTTGTCATTATTTCCCCCACAGGATTTAACCTCAAATGTTACAGAAAGGACGGTGACACAGTTTGAAAAAGGACTTAGACCCAGGTACGTGTTGTCTTTGTTGTCTTCTGTCTGGATTAACTGTGTGTGTGTGTGTGTCAGGCTAGGCGGCTAGCTGTCCACTCTGTTTCCATTCGATTCGTCATCGTACCAATCTAAACATAAGTCACTAACGTTATACATTCATATTTCAGTGCTTTCTCCGTTAGCACGAGTCTGTGTGGCCCCAGTCACTCCAGCAGCATCTGTGGCTCAGACAGACAGACAGCAGCCGAGCTTATTGTAATTGTTAAGCGTTGTAGAAACTATGCTTAGCCTCCGTTTCAGGCTCGATACTGTCAGGATATATTCATCTATGAAGCTCTGTGTTTTTTGCTTGCCTGGTCGGAGTGGTTGGTAGTTCGTTAGCATCAGCAGCAGCTCAGCAGTCCTGTCCCAGTCGTACATCTTCAATTTGGTTTACTGTTGCCATTTCTGGTGCACCATACATGTTCTGCTACAAGTAGCTGCGGTTGGTGCACCTGACAGCATCATTTAGTGCGATATGGGCTTCTTTATTAGACATTTGAGTTATCCAGCCTTGGTGCAGGGGGATTTTTTTTTTTGCTCCTCTTCATGGCTGTCCTCTGAGGCCCCTGAATTCATGCATGTCACTGCGCAGCTTTCTCTGTGGCATCTGAAGGACTCTCACTTTTGTTTATAAAAGCACAAAGAGCGTTTGTGGCTTATTTTAAAGAATCCTCGCCCTCATCAGCCACATTTCACAGGAGTTGCAGCTTCAGGTCCAGCTTTATTATTATTATTATTATTATTATTATTATTATTATCATGAAATGAGTTGTGAATGAATGATGAAAATGCATTGCTTGGGTACAGTGTCAGTCTATAACATAATATCTAATTCATCGCACCACGCAGGAACATAATGAACTGTACAACCTAATGCAGGCCAGTACAAATGCCCTGCAGCAAACCAGGAATGTTGTTGTTACATTTTTTTACTGAGACTCTGACAGAGAGATGGGAACACTAAAGAAGTCTTTGTAGCTGTGTTTTCTTAAAAAGTCTATATGAGTCTTGACTTTGCTCTCAACTGTCCTACAGTGGAATACAATGCCTTTAAATGGCTCAATGCAGTAGTTGGGTGTTTATTTTTATCATGCTTTTCAGGCTTTGTGTAGAGCAAGTTTGATTTCGATGAAGATACAACCACATAGGGATGTTGACAGACCATTTAAATCTCAATGTTGTGAACAGTGTTGTCTCAGCATGTGGATGAGACGAGCAATGCATTTATCTTCTTTAGTTGTGCTGCATCACTTGCACAGATGGCCACAGAGATGGGGTCAGGACAATGTTTTCCTAAATCAGTTGCTGAAGTTGTAGCTCCATGAATTTGTTTTCTGATTACATCATATCAAGAAGTGCTGTTGGCTGTGGGTGATATCGCCAGGTGTGAATATAGTGCATAAGCCTGCGTTTTCTCTTCGCAGTGTCCATAACATTATTAAAACACAGTTGATCAGTGGACATCACTGCAGATGTGCAACATCCTTTGTGATTAGTAACACACATCTGCAATAGCGATATGTCCCTAAACATGTTGATCATTCCATGTGGGAGCAATCAAATGTAATGTTTCTGCTTTTAAATGTTTTTAAATCATATTTATTGTTTGCAACCATGTGAACACTGTTTGTGTGAGATTTCCTAAAAATACACATCTGATCTGCTGTATTGGGTCAAAGCATTAATTGATTAGCATTAGCTTCATAAAGCCTGAACTATTACAAATCCTTGGTGTATTGAACTGGGAACCGTGTACACAACAGGATACTTTCCTATTTCACTCCATTAAAACACTTGAACTGGTTCCTACATGTAGCATTATCACAATATCTTGCTCATGATAACGGTGATACTTGGGTATGTGATATATTGCAAAAAAGTAATCTTACTAGAGTCTACTTTACATCAATGTATGTGAAACAGACAGAGTATATACCTAAAAACTATCAATTTTCTTAAAATCAGTAATATATTAGATGTATTCATCGCATTAAAAACAGCCTTCATGTTTATTGACAGCTGGCTTTTGGCTGACAGAGGGTGTGGTAAGCAATGTGCCAAAATACACATGGCGTCTTACCAGACGTATTGTATTGAGGAAGTAGCCTACATTTCAGTAATGCTGGAATTCGGCATGCTCTGGGAGACATTACACCGCTGTGAAAACTCCTCCACCGCCACATAAGAGTCTGTTTCTCTTGGGATTTATTTGTTGGTGAAATCACACACAAATACAGACAGAAATTTCCCAAAGTCATGAGTCAAGAAACATAAGATGGTGGATATCCTCTCTTGAGATCACAGTTTCAGTTCTGTGTGATTGATGGGTTGTGTGAAATCAACAAGAAGGCAAACACATCAGTATTGACTCGGCCATACTACATCTTTAATCAGCAACCACGGGGTGTTCATTTGTACTAACAAACAAATGACTGTCAGTGACAGACTGTTTCGCCCCGGATTGAAAACCTTGAAGTACTGTCGTGGGCATATTGTTTGTTTTTAGGTCTGTGTGCTGTGGATTGATTATTGAAATACTAGAAAATAATCTGTAATCAACATTTTGATTGAGCATTGGATATGCTCTGCTGTAAATTGTTTTCTAAAGGGCGGATGTTGAACAATTCAGTGAAGACAGCGTAAGGAGAACTACAATTATCACATAAGCTGCATCATGATCACGTAATCGTTTCCTTTCTTCCTTATTCTTCAGGTTTTGTGACATGCAGCGGATAGACGCTTAGGAACGGATGCGAGTGCACTTGCTGTTTGCCCTTTGAGGACGGACCTGCCACCATGAAGAGTGAGGTGCAGTCAGAGGCCCCCAGCATACAGGAGCACCTGAAGGAGCCACTGGTGAACCCAGAGCCCATGGAGGCCGCCAAGAGCTTCCCGAACAACATGGAGGTGATTGGAAAGGCAGGCAGCGAATTTGAGACCCTGTGTGAGTCCAGGCATCGGCCCCTGAGGGACACAGAAACACACAGAGACTCGGAACGGACCCTCCCTGGGCGCAGAAAAAGAAAAGGTCAACAGGCAGGGCCGTCGGACTGCTCGCTGAAGGAGGGCCACATCAGTGAGAGTTCACTGGCCCCTCAGCGTCCCAGGGTAGAACTTTTACAGCACCCCAGTGAGGATGAACATAATCACGAGTCCTCTTTTAGTGACTGTGCTTCCTCCCCTTCCTCTAGCCTGCGATTCGGGGACTCGGACACTCTCAGCTCAGAGGAGGAGGGGGAAGCTGGAGCGACGGGGGGCCAACACAAGGCTCCTGCCCTGACAACGGGAGGAGCCGCCGGAGTTGGCCTGCACCCTGTTCTGGGCCGAACTCGGGGGAATCGCTCTCATAAGTGGGTGCGGTCTGAAGCTGAGCCAGTGCTGCTGAAGCGGCCGTGTCTGAGCAGCCGGCGGCCCCTACATAGGAAGCGCTTTGTGAAAACGGCTCCGGGAGGGGGTCAGCGGACTCAGAAGCAAAAGGAGCGACTACTGCTGCAGAGGAAGAAACGGGAAGTGATCGCACGTAGGAAGTATGCTCTACTCCATAGCACCAGTAGTTCTAGCGAGGAGCTGAGTAGTGACTCTTCCTCCCCCACTTCTACTGAAGCAGAAGACGAGCTCTATGTCGATGTCAGCAGCACCAGCAGCCAGCCCAACAGTGCTACTTTAGCCACAGGTAACCACGACTCTAGTGCATTAGTTTCTTTGTGTTGCATTTTAATCTCTGTATTCTATCCAACATATCTTGTTTTACGGCATGAGGTATGGTATCATATGGTTAAAATAGTTGAGGCTTCCGTAGCATAACACTGTGTGATCGCAGCGTGAGGGTTAGCTGTGGACTATACTAGGCCAGACTATGCAATGTGTTTGTAGTGTTGGATTTAGTTAAATGTATTAATATATCAATTTTATTGATTAACAGTCAATATAAGAAACTTTACATGGCTTCTACATCATATCAGGTCCCTTTTTTAACTGTCTATATTAGATAACGTGGGTTTAATATCAACAGGCAGAATGGTAACAGAGTTGTAACGGTATAAATTATGTCTTCAGGATCTCTAAAGTTGCAGAAAAAAAAATGCCAATCCAGCATGAATTATCATTTTAATTGAAGAACATTGATGCAATGTGAATTAATATGCACTGAAGAGCAGAACAAAACAGAAACGACTTGTGCCGGAGAAGAGGTCAACACGTGTTGTGCAACTTGCGATAGCAGCTGGACTTTTTCATAACAACACTGGTTGTTAGTGTCATAATTCAAATACTATAACACACATGTATTGTCATTTATCAAAGTTTTTAAACCCCTAGACGTCCAGTTCCATTCACTGAACAATCAGAAATGAATTTGCTATAGCAGAAGGGTGATAATGGTAAGCAAAATGTGTGTTTACTGAAGCTTAATCAAGAGTCTACAGGTTGTCATTGTGTGCCAGGTGATTTCATTCTGGCTCTCAACCAGAGAAAGGGAAGTCACCTTGCTGCCTGGAGGGACAACATGCCCACAAATAGTTCTTGCCTTTCTCATGGCAACCTATTGTCCCAAGTCTATGTAAAAAAATACTCTATGTAAGAAATCGTATTATAGCTTTTGACTTCAGTTTCCCTTAAACATGATGAATGTAGCAACATACATAAGACTTTAGTCTGCCTGTCTTTGTAATGGCTCAGCTGATAAAGGAATAGCTACGCCCCTCTGCGTTTCATGGCCCCACACCTGGCAGTCTGTAATGGAAACTGCCGCCCTCTGTTACCTGTTGGAGCAACGAGTTTACACAGCTCCTAAATCTAAACCATAGCTTTCTGCTCTCATTCTCAGCCCAGTGTGCAGAACAGACAGACGAACAGAAGTCGGGATATCCCTTAAAAAGCCCCACTTTCACCCTGCTTCACTGTTTTGCTCATGTAGCCATTTATCCTCAGCAGTGTCTCTCCTGCTGTGGCCCTCGGGGAGAATGGAAACTTAGTTGTTGGTGGGAGGCCGGTGGGAGAAAACTCAGGCACTGTTTGGTGACAGGCTTTGCATAGAAACAGCAGGTCTCGCAGGGAAAACAAGGCATTTGTTTACAGCAGGGGAACGCATGGAGGCAGGTGAAGAAGCCTTCTAGATGTTCAGTGTTGCAGCAGTTGTGTGAAGTAGCAGTTTAAATCCTACTGCACAAATCTGATTTGTCACACTAAATGATTGGCTTCACCAATAGCAGTTAAGTATGATTCTTCAGTCTCAAGCATATTGCTTGTCCTGTTACCAAAAACTGATCAAGTCGCTGGTTGGACTTCAGAGAGTTGTTTCATGGACGTCTGATATTTCTGTTCCAGAGTTTGACAAACGGTCATCTTAGGTCTAGTAGCAGTACGTATCTTTTTTTTTTTTCTACCTCACCAAACACTGCACACGTTGCTTACAATTCTCTGCACGCTGTAAGTAAGGTGTTGTTGTATGTGTAGCCTCATGAAGGCTTCACCTGAGTCTTGCAGAGGGTGCTAAGCAGCAGTTCTCAGGAGACAATTGGAATAGAAGTCACACTGGGGAATTATGGCAAGGCACTTACTGATGTGCATGAAAACAAAGTATACTCTTCTGCAGCATAGAATCGAGTTACTTTGTTAGCCGCACACACGCATGTATACATACTGTAGATGACATCTACTATCATAAAACATCGGTTGGAGATTTACATTGAAGTTTTCAGAGTCATAGAGGAGAAATTGTGACAATAATTAGAAACAAGCATGAGACTGTAAGCTGTAAATAAACCTGTATTGTCTGCTACAGTATGCTGTGTATGATCTGGGGGGGGGGGGGGGAAATCTATGTCTGGGCTTAAACCCTAAAGTGATCCCGTAGATTAAGCTGTGTGTTCAGATATAGAAAATAATGCAACACATCTATTTGGTGAGGCAACGCCCCCGTTGTCCTGCAATGGTCTTGGCAGCGGCTCCATTGCGAAGGCTGAGGAGAATGATGCATTTGATTATTTTACTTTGCTTTGAGCAGCGCCTTTGATGCACTCGGCTCCTTGTGTGCGATGTGGGTGGCATGAATAGACATGCGGGACCTCTGGAGATGAAATATTGACATGAGATCTTCATTAAGTCAACATTCGTGTCAAGATGTATACGTTATATGTGCTATGAAAATTGTAGTAATTTCAAACTAAAATGTCAAAACAACTATAATTGTCTCCACTGAGAAGATAGCTACCCTCGTATCTCTTCTTTCTGATCTCCTATTGCGACCGTCTACACACAGTGAGCACACCTGAGGGGGCTCTCATGGTATTTCGCCCAGGCAGAGATGAAGTGAGATCTAGTGCACAGTGAACCAATCACAGCGCAGATTTGGGAGCGGTGAAGGAAAAAAAAAAAAAGCCAATCCCAGTGCAAATAGAGTTGAGCACTGATGACCTACATTTCTCCTGTTAAACTGTTGAGCCTGAAGATACTGCTGTTAGCATGATGAAAGTGGAGAAATGCTATCTGGCCACTTAAACCACATTCTTTGATTTAGACTAAAAAGAAGGAGAGCACTGAGAGTACATGTCTCTGCTGTATGAGAGTAGACGACCGCATGCACAGACTTAAATGTCTATACTTGTTGTTTGTTCGTTTATTTGATGACGTGATATCGTTTAATTCCACATTAATAGAAGTAAAGTGTCATAATCCAATGAAGAGTCGTCGTAGTAGTTTTTGATCGAGTTTGTATTTTCTGTTGATTTAATTGTAGTTGGATGCTTTCTTTGTCTTTGTCATATTGTATGTTGCGTGTCTGTTCTGTACTAAATTCATCTCGTGTGCTCAGGTGCCCTGGATGAGGATGTTGTGGTGATTGAGGCCACTCCAGCTCCAGCGCCTGTTGTACCTGCAAGCGAGGAGATCAACGTCACCTCAACAGACAGTGAGGTGGAGATCGTCACAGTCGGAGACGGTTTCAGGTAGGACCCTTCATAAATGTGCTTCTGTTCATTTATCAGCTCAACTGCCCCATAAGGCAAAGGACTATGAATCCGGAGAATCAGGTCCAGAGTTTCCCTTTCACACATATAGCAAACAACAGGAGATTGTCCCTGCCAGATGTGTTCTCACCTACTGGAAATACTCCGTTTGGTTGAGGTGAGGGGTGGCAGGACATGATGCAAAAACACCGGCTGGTTTGTAACTTCTCCTGCCGTTCTCTGAATCTGTCTGACGAGTTTGGTGTTTTCTTCTCAGACATTCATTTAAATGACCTCTCTTCATCCCTCTTGGATGTTTGTATTGTTCTGTCATCAACTCGTTCACCGTGAATTCTCCAGAAAATGACCGGCTCTATTCACACCGACATTACACTGACTTTGAACTCGGGAGCTGGCAGTGGAAAGAACATTTAATACGTGGTCCGACTGATTCGGACATTTGCGTTCTCACATGCAGCTCCACTGGGTAATGTCTAGATAAGTTCAGGGTTGCAGTGCATGTGTGAAAGGAGCTTATGGTTCTCAGGATGAAAGCACTGAGTGGGTGGGTTGCAGTGTACTCCAGTGCTCTGCTCATGAATCCCATAGCTTACATTGCCCAGAGAGGGTAGGTTGCATACCTTGTTGTTTATACAGCAACGTAACCACATCACGCTCGGTGCCCATGTTCTTTCATTCTTTCTAGAAACACCACAAATAAAGCAAACTGCTTCTGTAAATAAATTAGCCAGGGAACAGCTTGAGAGGTAGGAGCAAACAATGTCACTTTGAGCAGGTTGAAGGGTCATTTAGTTATATTTCATATTAAAACAATATGTTACCAGTATTAGTTTATTACTTGTTAATTGACACTAAGTGCCACAGGAAGTGAAACAAATTTGGTTTGTATAATTTTTGGGATAGAATTCGTAAAGTGTTTTCAGATGCTCTTCTTGCTCCTTTAATGGGAATTAGGTAGACACACACACACACACACACACACACACACACACAGTGGTGTGAGGTTTTTCACCGGTAATGGCAGTGATGCGTGCATAATTAATTCCACGATATGAGAGCTTGAAGAGGAAAATGTCTGACGAGCTACTTGCTCACTGGGATATCTCTGACCACAAGATCAGCACAGAGCACAACGTTCATCAATCACTATCGGTGAGTAACTTCAAATACATTCTATACCAGAACAGACCGTATAACCTAACCTAACCCATATCATGGCTACCATATCGTCACATAGACCTCCCTAGCTGGCGTGGACTTGTTTCAAATGGATAGTTGATAAAGCTTAAAGAAGGATTAATAAGTGGATAATGTAAGAATTGAAACACAGCGCGCTGTTTCTCAGAGAACTGCTAGATATTTACAGTGTGAGAGCGATACATTAGATATCTCCCACTGCCATTCTCTGCAGCCCACCACATTTCACTCAACCTCAATCTTATTCCCCAATTCTCATAAAATGACAACCTGTCTCCTGCCTCTGTGTTAACCTCTATCTGTATCCCTCACAGTCTCTTTCCTTCCACTCTACTTTATACTAATGTATTCGTAATATTTTGAAAAATAGTTCCCTGGCCAGAGGTGATTGCGCCAAGCTTGGAATGCTACGGCTTGTCTAATCTTCCTGTTTTTCCCGACTGTCAAAGATGTCTTGGATCCCTAGAGGGAATGCAGGGATGAGCTTTCCTGAAGGGGGGGATGGGCAGCAGCGAGCAGGAGGGCGGGGAACCAAAGGCCAACAGAATGAGCAATGAAAGCTTTGTTGACGCCGCCTGTGGTCCGATTTGTGAATGTGTGTTTGTCAATATAGGAACAATACATGTGCACACATGCACAAATACTCACACATTCTGTATCATGGCTCTGGCTTCTTTTTTGTTGTAGTATTTTGATGATAATTAAATCACTTTTATTGTTTGGTGGATTGGTTCCCCCCGATGCAACTTATTTCATTTAGTCCATGTGGAAATACCAAGTCAAGTATGATATTCACAGACCTCCATGAGAATTAGAATAATCAGTTTTTGTTGAAACTTTTTCAGAGAAGTTCAACTTTACGGTCATACGATACAGTTCAACAACACCACGGACTACATCCCCCAACACTATCATAACGCTGAGCTTCAACAAAAACTGAACATTTGAACTTTTATGGAGGTAGGACTGTTGTGTTGGACTCCGTTAGTAACTGAGTGTATGTTGTCCGATTATAAAACAGCTGCACAATTGCGTTCATCGCCTCAAGCTGACCTACGTTGATAAAGAACATTCTCTCATTTCCTTTGCTGTTCCGTTGGGTGTGTAGTGGTATTATCTGTCATGTTTGTGGACAGAGGAGTCTCTGCCTGCAACTTGTTGTGGACAGTCTCCTCTCTTCATCCCCAGATTGTACAGAATGTTCAAATACAGTTCTCAACCAACAGCAGCATGTTACGGACATGGAGCAAAATGATATTATGAAATTATGGCAAAACAACCATTTTTAACCCAAAGCTGCTCCTCTCACGTTGCTCAGTGACGTGCTGTCTGTGTGGATATGTTTCTGCTGGCTGTACGTTGTTTGTTTGTGTCGCTCCACAATTCGCTCACTTGCAAAGCAGTGCATTATGAGAACAATCAAGTGTTTTAACAATGCACTGTGGGGCGTGTTTGGCTGTGGTTTTACCCAAAACGCAGTGAGTTACAATAAACAAGGATTATGTAGCTGATATGGATATTAAAAAATTATTCTGCATATCAGGACAGGAAACCTTTTGAATGCCATGAGACTTTCTGTGAGTACAACACTTACTGCCATCAGGATTCCAGAGTAGAGCTTTCCATCTATAGAAAAGTGATGATGTGGCTTCAAACAAACTGGTGTTAAAGTCACTTCCATTGAATGATGGATCCCCAAACGTATCCCATCAACCTAAAAAAACTGATTCCACTCAACCTGGAGATTAGACAGATTTCAGTTCACAGCTTTAGGTCTACACATTTTCTTTTGACCTTTATGACATGTATAGCCTCATTTATTTTATATCTATTTATAAAAGGTATGTTATGGTTATTGTATGTATATTTTTCTTGTGTTGATGAAGATGTGCTCAAGCAAAATGTAAAGGGCTTACAAGGCAGCTCTGTAATTACAATGATACATTTTCTTTGTTTTAACATAAGTGATAAACATCAGTTCTCTATTGGTGCCGAGAGTTAGAAAGTAAAGCCCTCGTACCCTTAATTGTGAAGACAAACTTGATCCGTTAATCAGTGCAAAGTTTAAATCCCAAATTGTTTACCACTAGTACACAGTGTTATTCCTTCTACCTCTCACACCAGTAGTTTGCTCTGTTACTGCAGCCCTCCTCTGCTCCCTGGGGCTTGTGGCTCACATCACCTTGGTTTGGCACAACCAAGCCACCCATTCCCATAGTGTTCATGTTTACAATGTATTGTTTTCCGACTGGCTTCACCCCCCCCTACCCTCAGGAGATCGTGGTGGTAAACAGATATTTACAAAATAATCCCAGGTCTACTTAATTAGGGACCCCTCCCTAGTGGCTCGTCCTGCTCCCTGGGATCAACCCAGAGCTGAGGAGCCGGGCCAATTAACCACCAACACAACCACCATGTGCCCCTCTCTGCATACCACCCTCCTTGCTGTGTGTGTGTGTTTGCATGCGTATGGGCACGAGGTTGCTTTAGCGAGTTGTGAAATATGAAAGTTAATAAGCTTCCTCCTTCTCTATTCCACTTGCATCGTGCGGCGCATGTCTCGCAGGAAATTGCATTGGAAGCAGACAGTATAAGCTGATGGGAATCCCCCCTTATCACAAACAGCAGTGAGAAAGGCATTTCCTGTGTTCAACACATCAGAGAAATGTGATCAAAGCCAAACTCTTTCAGCATAAAGAGGAATAGATCAATAATTTAACCAATCCAAAACATTACATTACTATTAATGCATGATTTACACTTTTTATACAGTATAATATTAAAGTCTTTGAACTCATGCGCTCACATTTTGATCACCAGCAACAATACACCAACCGTGTTTGTTCCATAATTCCAGTTATTGAAGTTTTTGAGATGCTTTTGAAATAGAAAATCATAAAAAACGTCTGTCAGTTTTGCTAATACTTAGCTTCATAAAGGCAGCACCAAAAGTCTTGATACAATTCATTGTTTTGAGTTTTTTAATTGCAAACTTTATCAAGTGCGTAGTTCCCATCTATCTAGTCCTTGTACCCACTTCTTCCTGTACGGTGGTATGTAGCCTGTATCCAGTGGGGGGAGGCCAGAGAAACGCAAAGAGAGACACGTAACACTATTTATATATTGACTCCAAGAGCCAGTTTAAAGTTTCCAATTCACCTGACCTGTATGTGCAAACACAGGCAATAACAATTTATTGAATTACTTGATCATTTGTTATGTTTCTATGGCTTAATCAAGAGTCACCGAGCTAGTCTATGTATTAGTTTGACAAACCAAAAGCTCCGTAGCTCCGATGAAGACTGGTTAACAAGGCAGTGCTTTTGGCACTCGGTGTACAGCATAGTCCCTCTGCTCCTGTGCAACGCTCTCGGGGAACAACAGTGAACTCCCCAAGCCACAGAGCTCCATGGTATCTGGCTTTACGGCACTCACAAATAGTCCAATGTCCCTCAGGCTCATCCCTCCTCCCTCTGATCACCTGGCTTTACGGCACTGTGGGGGGAAATGTGGCTATTCCCTGGGCTCTCACTCCAGTCTCAGAGAGCACGGGGTAGAGTGATGGGAGCCTTTGAGAGAGAAAATTAAAAGGACAAGAAAAAAGGAAAGGCCCAAGGCAGGGCAGGAGAGGTACAGAGCATTCCAGAGATACAGGGAAAACTAACAATGCTGATATTTAGATGGAAGTGGAGACGGAGCTTCATGATGGCAGTCCAGACGCACGCTATCTGTAGTTTCTGACATTTATACATGGATGTAAATAATTCCACCGATATGTTTGCCAGAGCTAGGACACTGGAATTATACCAACATACCCAATTAGATTGGAGACGTTGTTAATGGAAGTAGTTGCAGCAATGCTTTTCCTGCTATGTCAAGATGTCTGCCATGAAGAAAGGTTTTATTTCCTTCACTAATGTGCTCACTGGGTATTGTGACCAGAGCCAAATGCTTTTGTCAGAATTGCCCGCTGTTGCGTCTTTGCTTACCTTTGCACCGGCGGGCTTTTGTCAAAGCACACCACTGTCCTGGAAATGAGCTTGAGAGTCTGAGAAATACTTGAGAATATTCCTGGTTCTTCTACTGCAGTTGGCTGTAATAGTTGTTGTTTTTATGTCTGTATGTCCACAGGTCACGCTCAGTGGCCGGTCTTGGCAGGATTTGGGCTAATAGCTGCTCCCAGAATCGACTCCAGGAGCCACGTGGACGTCACCGACTCTCCACCGTCATCCAACCGCTGCGTCAGAATGCTGGGGAGGTGGTAGATCTCACTGTCGATGAAGATGGTAAGAATAGAAATAGGGGGAAATCCTTCATCCACATACTTTTTAACTGTTTGATGAAATGAGAGCTACGCATCATTTCAAGTTGTCTGCTAGCAGTGACTCCTTTTATATTTTGCTGTCTTCTGCTGCAAATATGTGGCGGCCTTAGACTTCTCAAGTGATCTGTGGTAATGGCTTTGAATTCATACATTCAAATTCATGACGCGGTGAAGAAAAGCACTGTAACAACTTGCCACAAAGTTTCTTCAGGTTTCTCTTTTTTTAATTCATCACCACTCTAACTCTGGAAAAGTGCAATACATCTGAACATTGTAGATATCTACTACATCTGTTTTGCACAGCTTACAGTACTTTGCACATTATACGCATGCACATGTTTAATGGGCATGCGTTATTAGTTTTTCCTCTTATGATAGTGCTTGTGTTTTTGATCTTTACACTACTTTCAGTGTGGTTTCGTTCACTTGCTGCTGCTGTGACATGAGCAATACATAAAGTATCTATTGATCTCTATCTAAATATGTGCCAGAGATGGAGAAATCATCAGCTATAGTTTTACAAAACTGCTAACAATAACAGTTGGCAAAACCTATATTTTTGATCTTGATAACTTGTTGTTATGCTTTCACTATTAACTCTCATGTTCACGAATTAACCACTCAGCGATAAGAATTAAGAGTTTGTTGTTCTACATTAACCCTCTTTTAGTTGAAACCCTATAAAAGGAGTTTACGTCGTAGCCAAAGGCATTTGTGTGACTTTCTGTATCAGCCCACGCACACGACAGACAGTAAATGGTAGAGCAGTGAGTATTAAGAGTATTTGCATTTCGTAGGAGAAAGAGGGGAAATGAATTTGTGAATATGAATAGCAGATGTAGTGCACACACTGGAATGCTAATGAGGCTTGCTGTTCTCCTGCTCTTCTCTACAAGTACACACATGCTACAGTTCACGCTGTGGAGGGTTTTTATTCCAAGTGTCGAGTTGGATTTGAGGTTGTCTCATGAATTGCGAAAATCATGCCTTTTTAATCTACAAATATCAATTGGTACATCTACATGGTGTTATATTGAATCAATAAGACTTTGTTAACCTTTATTAAGTTAAATAAATGAATAAATTACATGAATGGTTGGAGGATTTGGAAAACAAAACGCACAAAATCGGATACAGACCCCTCTCGAGTTGTGTGCTCTTGTATGACTCCTTTTTAAATGCATTAACTCTGGTGAAGTAATACCTGTAGTACAATTAATGCACATTAATCCTCCTTTTCTAAATCATCATCTGCCTTTTTTTCCCCCCACAGATCTCACAGTTGTGCCAACAACCTCTGGCAGCATTCACCCTCAAACAATCAGGTCATCCTCTTCATCATCTTCCCATCATGCCTCTACCTCAGAGCTCCATGATGCCCCAGGCCCTTCCACTAGCTGCCCAGGCTCAATACCTGAAAGTATGCACACGCAGAGGCCAAGCGTCTCTGCTCGCACAGCCGCAGAGGGTAAGACAGGACATGGCATGTTTAAACTAGCTGCTGGAGACCATTTCAACTCTTTTGCTCTGAGGCAGTTGGGGTCCAAAATGACTTCCTTTCAGCTGTTGATATTATCCGTAATGTTTGTACATCAAAGCGTGATGTGGTCTATATTGTGTAGTCGCATGTCGCCATAGGTCATCTTTATTTTTCTTCTTCTAACCTGCTGTTTCCTCCTTTACCTTTTACTCTCATCAGACGACAGCAGACCAGGTTTGTCAGGCACAGCAGGAGAAAACGCAGGCACGGCCATGCCCAGACTGCCATCCTGCTGCCAGCAGCACTCCCCGTGTGGAGGGCCCTCCCCTGGTCACCTGTCGCTGAGCCACTCCCATTCAAGCTGCTTGCAGGTGTCGTCCTCTCAGCAGACCGGTGGACCTCAGCACGGCCACGGTCACGGCCACAGCAACGCTCACCACTTCATCCACCACGTCCATCACCCAGCTCCACAGCCCCCGGGCACCCTGCCTTTTCAAGAGCCGAGCTGCCCCGTGGAGCGACCCAGTGCTCTGCCCGCATCCTGTGCTGGGGTCAGCAGCAGCAGCAACAGTAGTAGTAGCAGCAACACAGCCCATTACCATGACCAGGTACGCCCATGCCGCATTCAGTAACAACATGCTGTGGTCAGCAGCCTCTAAACAGCTAACATTGTGTAACGGTGAGCTTGAACAGGCACGTTCTGATGAAGAGAATATCCCTCAGGGTGTTGCTGAATGTCATAATATCGGTCAAAAAGGTGTACACCATATCGGCTCAATGTCCCACATTGATTCCTAACCGCCTCTCTCTCTCTCTCTCTCTCTCTCTCTCTCTCTCTCTCTCTCCCCACAAACATAATCTAAAAATCTGTCTGCAGGTCAGCCTCAGCCTTATTGTCTCACTCTGGGTTGTTATGAATTTATTTAGCTTTTGAAGCAAATATTAAAGAAGATTAAGAAGTACGGCACAAAATGAATCTATGACGAGTAGTGATTGAACAAGTTCGTTGTGTCTCATTAAAAGTATGACTAATGTTTGATTGAGGTCAGACAGTCACGTTTTAAGTATTAGTGTCTAAAATGGTCTTAAAACTTCGCTATCTTTGTCAAAGCTCCACGATGCAACATCCTCCCCTCAATTAGTTAAGAACTTGTCGCTAATGAAGATGCACTCTTTATCTTGAAAGGGCATTTAGCAGGAGACTGAGGGCAACACACAAAGGTTTCTCCTATATTAATATATTTTTTTTACGTGGAGGGAAAAATGCAGTACAGAAAAGACTACTACACCATACCGTACATGACTAGAGCGTGACTCATTCAGCATTCCACAGGAGAAGTTCATCCCTCTTCTTTCTATAACGTCTCCTCCACCTTTCTTCCACAGCAAACTCTGCCGGTGGACCTGAGCAACAGCGGTGTTCGGAGCGGTGGGAACAACGGGGCTAGTTTCCATGGCAGCACCTCAGCCTTTGACCCGTGCTGCCCGGGCTCCACCTCACGGCCTCCTGCTTTCGTGTCCCAGGCCACCCCTGGGCCCAGCCAGCCAGCTGTGGTGGAATCGTTCAGCGCCTCCATGGTGGCTCAGCCCCAGCCACAAACACAGCCCCAGCCCTGCAGACATTACATGCACCCCTCCTGTGAGTATATTAGCGCATGCAGGACAGAAAACAGGACACGCGCCTCTGATTTAATGGTCTCGATGTTTCAGAGCAGAATTTTTAAAGTCCAAAATCAGACTTTATCAGATTTAGTCATCCCCTTTTCTGGTCAAAAATAATGTTTTTAGTAAGTAGTATCTGGCTCAATGTGACCTCCAGAAAGCTGAAGTTACTGCTTTATGAAACATTTGATTGGCTGTTTAGAAATAAGGTCTCCATCTACTTAAACGGGTATTCCATTGAATTAATGCAAAACTAGGGGAGCAATCATGAAATGAAATGAAAAGAAAATCAGAAACCAAAAAGGGAGAAATGTATATAAGCGATATAAGATATGCTGTCGCAGACAAATGCAATTTAATTTCAGTTGGACTTTCATGTGTGCTTCTGCATTTGAAGAATCCACTTATTTGCAGTGCCAGTGCCATATTGCTTGGGAAAATTGGAAGACAGCTGCACTTCTAAAACCTAATGCTAATAGTAATTAACAGAGCCTGGTGGTTAATGTGCCAAGTGCTGTGGGAACTGCACCAGGCAGAAGTAGTTAATTGATCATTCCACTCCGCTCAGTGTGGAGAGTGAAGCTGTGTGACGAGGCTCTCTGGTGGGGAAGTAGTAAGACGGTTAGTTGCTGCTGGTGCTCATGCTCGCCTCTCCTCCGCATTGTACTGCTGCTTGGACAAGTAGCAAGGAAGTCTGTACCAAGAAGAGCTACAACAATAGAACAAATGAATATTCATTAAGTGGATGACTCACATTAGTGAACTTCTGTCTTTGCCAGAGAACAGAGAAGGTTTGCGTCAACAACAACAGCAGCAGCATAAAATGCTACAAAGGCATCATCTTTACCACGATGAGCCGAGATGTATAAGGGATAAGCTTGTTGACGTTCTACATTAATGGTAAAAAATCCCACAAAATGACAATCACCAAAAAGTAAATTGATCCTTTTGGCATGTATTTGTGTAGCCTGATGTAGCTTAGTCCTCCGTGCTTTAGAGCACCGTTGAAAGCATCACGCTCAGCCAAAGACAAAAAGAGGAAGCTGGAGATCCAAAGATTATTAAAAACACATCAATGAGCCACATTGTTTGGACTAGCTGACATGTTTGTTGATCACAATGAATGTCGCCCATGCTGAGTATTTCGAGTCAACGCCGTATGCACCTTCCTGCTGCCGTGAATACTCGTAAATGCATTTTTATACTGAAAGTATACATTCGAGCCTTCAGTGAGAATGAATGGACTTGGGGCTGAGTGCCACAGACAGGCTGGAAAAGTATTGACGGAGAGACTCGTGCATTGTTGTTGTTGGATTTGGTCTTTCCATAGGATTTCTTTACAACAACAAATATCTCATAAGTATCTTAGCCCTTTGTGTTTAAAAATGTTGTTGTTTTTTCTCTTTCCTCAAACCCAGATGGCTCTCTAGCACGCTCACTGCATCATCAGCCCTCCTCCGCCTGTCCTCATTCCCATGGGAACCCCCAACTTACACCTCAGCCCCCCCCCACAAGGCGAATACGTTATCCCCCACACTGTCACCTTTCATCCGCCACTGCCATCCCACCCTGCAGGCCACGCCGTGCCCCCTGCCCCTCCCCCGCCTCTGTCTACCCACCACCTCTCTAGTTCAAATGCCCCACTGGCCCAGCATCTGCCTACGGACCACCAGACCCTGCCGCACCATATGCCGGCGCTGGGGGCCTCGGTGCAGAGACTCCATCAGCACGAGATACTGCAGAGGATGGAGGTCCAGAGGCGCAGGATGATGCAGCACCCAACGTGAGTACCGCCATCACCCAGCTGGGTTTTTTTTTTCCCTCATCCTGAGTATTCATATTATCGTGACCCTGTACTTTGCTGTCCCTGCAGACGAGCACATGAGCGTCCGCCTCCACACCCCCACAGAATGCACCCCAACTACGGCCATGGACACCACATCCATGTGCCACAAACTATGTCTTCCCACCCTCGCCAGCCTGAGCAGAGAACAGCTTGGTCAGTATCGGGCAATCGAGGTCTGGCAGATGGCTCGTGTTAGTTTAACGGCAGCTAATCATATCACATGCACATTTTGAATGTGACTCTATGGTTCCTTGGTTTTATGTTTAGATCGACCAAAGTTTTGACGTAGCGATGACTAATTCGTTTGTCAACAGGGAGCTTGGCATCGAGGCTGGAGTGACTGTGGCACCGTACCCTTCAGGGCACCTGCACTCCCACCTGCCCCACTACCACCCTCCCCCCAGACTGCACCACTTCCCCATCCCCTTCATGGTGAGACAAACCCTCGGGACGAATGCATACATTAGCATAAATGAGAAAGAATCACTATTATATAAAGTCTGGCTTAGATTAATGGTGTTGGCCTTCTTATTTATAACGTCAGTTATTTCAAGGATGGTTTGGTTAACCACATGAATAATGCAGTAGCAATTAATAGTAGCTCATCAAGCATTTCAAGTGCACACTCAACAAATCCACAAGCCTCGAGACAGAGCCTGTGCAAATGTAGTCGACAGTTTCCTGATGTTATTGCTTTTTTTTACTTGGTCACCCTCAGATATACCAACGTTGGTTGTCTTCCACAGTCTGTTCTTCACTGTAGCATCTATGCAAGTGCACATTAAGTCAGTTTGCTGTTTTCCAAATGCTTTGAGCACGTCCGCAGTTCATCACAGAATGCATGCTCAAAATTAGGGCGTAGAAATATGGAACCAAAAGCATATGCAATTGAATTTTGATGAACAGTCTCTGCAGAGTTCATTAGTTTTAATTTGTATACATCTATGACCTTCATCATTGCATATTTGCCATGTGAACACTTCCATAGGCTCTTCTAATGCATTTTAAAAGAAAAGAAATCTTGTTAAAACTCAAATACAATTTTTGAACTGCCACTACCACGTACACAGGGTAGTTTAACTTAAAGCGGCTATGATCTATATTTCTATTGTAACAATGTATCAGGTGTTCATAACAATGAACATTCAAAGAGTTAGTATTCAAATCTGCAGCTCGCCTCAGCTTTATAGTGAGTTTCAGCTCATCGTTCAGCTGTCCAGCTCTCAGCTTCACTGTTTGCGTCAATGTACACTAACTGCTCGGCACCAGACGGCAGACAGACCCGACTAGCTGGTGATCATAGTGGAGCATTTAGCCGCTAAAGAGTCATACACTTCCCTCTAAAGAGTTAAAAGGAGAGTATTGGACAGTAAATTCATCAGGTGGCCAGAAACACGACTCCAAATGAATGCTAATGTTGCTCCGTAACTGCTGGGTGTTTAAATAAGAAACTCTTTACTAACAAGTTCACCATAGCAGCTTAAAAGATGATGATATAACGATGTGGTGGAGTGAACTCTATTAAATGCAGGTTCAATGTTATTCTCTGAGATAATGCCAGTTACTTAAATACAATACCACAGCATAGCTGGAAGTCAAATGGCTCAGCCACTAATAGAATGCATTATATTGAACCCTCACCAGAAGCTTAAGAGTAAATAAAGGTCTGTGAAATTCTGACGTGGAAAATGAGCCCTCTGAGTCAAGAAGCATTTAAAGCATTCAGTTATGAGAGAGACATGCTGAGATAATTCTGCATGTTTTTCTGTTGTCCCTCACAGCACACCGGCATATCTGAAGTGACCTACCCGCACATTCGGTACATCTCATCTAGAATGACTGGCTTTGGAAGAACCTATGAGGTGAGGACTGCTTTCATTTATTTATTCCTTTAAATGTGTTTGAATCAGTCCAGACACGACTCGGACGATTAAAATAACTGAATTCCCATTTCGTTCATCACTGCTATCATCAATATTAACGTTATAATTGCTTGACTCAACACCGCATGGCTGATCAATATGTTCATACGGTAACAGTAATAAGAGTACACATTTGATTATTTGTATTCAAAATAAACAGTCCTCAGCTGTCACAGGGAAAAGCAGGATATAATGATATAGTAGTGGAAGTGCATACAAAGACAACGTTTAACATCTTGACAAAATCTTAACTCAACGTCCACTTACTAGTTTTTTTTCCCAAAGCACTCAACCACATGTCACGGTCTCCATCACTGGGTGAAGTTAATGTCGTGTTGAATGTTTCCCTGAGAAAGACACTGAACTCTAAACATTTTATAAACAAGTCTAACTCACTGAGTCACAGGGTTCAACCCCTAAATCTGGAAAATAATTGAATGAAAAGCCAACCTTTAGTCAGAAAAAAGCACCAATGAGGAAACCAGTCTGCTCCGGTGTGCTGCCGTTTCATGCACCGTAAGAGGAATTATCCAAAAGAGCCAAAATGTGCATCTGTCCATCATTCTCATAGCGGTTTGTTTGTACTGCATCCATTCAGGACCTGCTGCATTTAGAGGAAAGATTGGGGACTGTGAACCGAGGAGCCTCTCAGGGAACCATAGAGAGGTGCACTTACCCACACAAGTACAAGAAGGTGAGGCGTAATGAGAGTGTGTGTGTAGCTATGTATATGTTGTGTATTGGATTTTGCAGATACTGTATATAGTTGTGCTCGTCTGTTACAGTTTATTCTGGGACAGAGTGCGCAGTGGTCTTTTGTGCTCATTGCAAACGTCTGATGTTTAAGCAAAAATACTGTAGTGTGTTTTAGATTGCAGCTGTGAAGACATTGTTGAGGAACAGTTTCCATAGAGGTTTCCAAATGTATCTAAACAAGCAATCTAACACCCTGCCACCCAATACAGAAGGTGTTGGAGAGAGACATTGACCAAGAGTTAACCCCTGAAGCTTGGGCATCTATTGGGAAAAATATGCTCGCAACCCCAGAATCGGTGAGAAATAATGAACAAATCAATTTGGAAACATGTCTCTGCTCTCATGTACAGTAGATATTAGTGTTAGTCTTGGGGGCCAGGGAATTCGGCTCTAGAATAGCTTTGATTTGGATAATTTGTATTTGTTTAGCACAGAGACAACAGATAGAAAGTGTTTGTTTTCATGACAAAATGACCATTCTCTCTGTCCCCAAAGGAATTTGTATTTTTGTCGAAATGTTTGTTCTAAACAGTTACCTCTTTATAGGCACTATATCTTTATTCTAACCTAATACGTACTTGTTATGTCACCACAGTGTTTAAGTTGAGCAGTGTAATGTGTTAAACAGAGAGTGGATTAATAGGATTGTTAACCATATGTGACCGATCGACGCTTCGTATCAAAAGTCATGTTTCCAAATGTTTCTCACAAACAGAGAAAGCTGCTTATTAAGCAAGACGAGGATGAGGGGGCAGATGAAGACACAGAAGAAAAATGCACCATCTGTCTGTCAATACTGGAGGAGGGGGAGGACGTCAGGTGAGTAGCTCCCCGCCTGGGTGCTTGTGTTTTGAGTGTGTTCAATTACGCTTTCAGGGGCGGGACATGTGGGATGGCAGGTGTAGTTGCTCCATTCTGCCACCATCTCTGGGGATTGTTATTCTTTTAAACCCAAAGGTGTAGTAATCAACAAAAAACCCTAGAGTGCCTTAATATTACCGGCCCCATGGAACTGTCTCTTGGCACTCTTTTCTGCCCTCTGTTGGTATGAAAGGAAGTGATGAGTGTCACGTGTTTATCTGCTTCTTTTTTTTTTTTTTAATTAAATAAATTATTCAGTCATCACTTGTAGCATTCCAATGATTGAGTATACATTTCCAAACTATAACACATCATATGACTTTTATTCTGAAGCGGTCGTTTAGGTAAAACACACAAATTTGTAGGTGTGTGGTTTTTTTTTTTTTCAGATTTGTTGTTACTTGTTAAAAGTGCAAAGACATGCTTATTTATGTTTTGTATAAAGAACTCAGATATTTGAGGCTCAGGCTTGAGACATATTTTTAAAAGGATCAAGTTGGAGATATTTTATAGACTACAAATCCCATGAAATGACCAAACCCCAAGCCCATTTGTCCCTAATAAAGAAACAACTAATATATTGTTTCTTTGGTATAGGTTTGTGACAAATGTTGCTCCAAAATGAGCAAATAGTGTATTTATTGGGGACTATTTTCCGCCATTGATGTGGTGCTCTATGAGCATTTACAGCAGCAGGACAAGGCCCGTCATCGTCATGATAATGAATGAAACATGTCACCCGCTGTAATGATGGTGCTCACAGATGTTTCAAACAGTTTCTCGACAACAATGGAGCTCTATGGCACAGATAAACAAGCTCTGGCTCCACAGGCAGTATTTGTTAGTAGCCTCAAGTCATTGTTGGTTTTGCCTCTTGTGTTTCCCCTCCAGACGCCTACCATGTATGCACCTTTTCCATCAGCTGTGTGTGGATCAGTGGCTCCTCACCAATAAGAAGTGCCCCATCTGCAGAGTGGACATTGAGGCGCAGCTGTCTGCTGAGAGTTGATGCTGTTTTTTTTTTCTAACCACCCGTTTTGTTGAAAATTTATTTTGAGATCATATTAATTTTCTCTTCAGTACTGCAGTCAACCAAAGATGGCATGAATGACCTGCGCAGCTCTACTACGAGAAAATTAAATAAAACACCTGACAAAAAAGCATCGCGCCCAGAGTGCCGGCTATCACATATTACTACAACAGCTAGAATTTTCCATCAAGGGTTTAAGATTTTATTGTATTTATAAAGCTTTCATGTAGCTTTTGATTGTTTCCTCAAGTGTCATTCTTTTCTTTTGTTTTTCTGCATGTTTCCTTGCAATGCATTTCTTTGCACATATAACGTTGGCTTATTACAGCCTAACAATTCGCAGGTGAGGATAGCTGCTCTAGTAAAGATGCATTTCTGTAAACCTAATGCCTTGCTCTACTAGAATGTCGCCCTCCAGTAAAAAAGGAAAAAAAAACACATTGCAGGATTCATTTTACCAATCATTGTATTGATTAGTTTGTTTAGAAGATGTGGATTGTTAGTGAAAGATGTTTTTTAAGTAAATCAAGACATTCCTACCTAGGGAAATATGTTAACAGATCAGCTGCTGTATTAGTGCACACCCAGTATTTCTAGAGTGGAAATAAACTCCAATGTTCACCTCATGTCCCAGAATATGCACATGCTTTGCTATGATTACACACCTCCCTCCAGCACCTTCATTTGACATAAACACCATTATCACCGTCCTCTGTATTTTTGAGAACAAGAAAAAGTGTCACATCCCTCTCTTGACTGTTCTTTCTAAACCGAGCGATTGTTGGGACCGGCTGTGAATCTTTTCTTCATTTTGTTGGGGGGGGGGGGTTCCTCCCTGCAGACGGGCCTGTGACGATTAACTAGCTTTCTGTAAGATGATCTCAGGTCTACATGTGTGCAAGACATTTCACATGAGCCTGCAACCTGGGATCATTTGGTCAATTTGATACCGGCAGTGGTGTTGACTTTAAGTGTGTGTGTGTGTGTGTGGGTGTGGGGAGGGAAATGCACAGCTCATTTTGGGATAAATATTTACTGCTTGTTCTCGCACTTCAAACCATTTTATCCACCCTCCCTTTTGTCTCTCTGTAGTTGAGCAGCAGCGTCCTTTTTGGCTGCTGCTGAAAGAAAAACACTAATACTGTTGATTTAACTTACTCGCATAGACTTGCACAAGAGAGAAAAAGGCAGGAGAATAGTAGTGAATATGACTGAGGCCATGTATTTCCACTCTGATGAATATTAAAAAAGGAAAGGAAAAAAAAAAAAAAAGATATTTTGAATGGAGTGTTGAAATGCAGTACTTAAAGCAGGTATCCATGCATTCATTGACTTAAAAGGCACCAGGATCATATTCTGTGGGATTTATATTAGTTTAAAAAAAATAATATTAATAAACTTGGATAACTCTTAATTGAGTCTTCTTCCTGGTCTCTTTGAAAATCATGTTTGAGTGAATGTTGAGCTCTTGATGAAACATCTATTTTAGGAAATGTCATGAGAGCACTTTGTCTTAAAAGATCATGAATCAGAATCGAATGAGTTTAAAGATAAAAATCCTTAAACATCTTGTTTAAATAAGTGCTGTAAGTGATCAGATGCAGTAAGAGTTTTAAGCGTTGTACCCTGGGTAGAAAAAAAAATACTATTTTGTAGGATAGATTCTCTTTTCTGAGTTGTATTTTTAAGATTACACAATGGCAGTTCCAATTTTAGTTTACTTGTATGTATTTTGCTTAGTGTTAAATGATGAATTTGGATTTAATGTGTAAATGTATTTGGCACAAATGCAATCCAGATATACAGGATGGCAAACTACTCTAAGTGCAAGATTTCACTATGACAATCCTTTTTCTTTTAAATACTAGAAAGTATGAAATATAATATGTAAGTTGTTATATGTTGGAGCCCCTTGTGGAGGTCACATGCTACAGGTTTGAAACCATCGCTGTCAGCCTTCTCTCGAATACCAAATTTAGTCAAACAGCTAATTCTGTCTTCCAATCAAAATGTCAACCGAGTGAGTAACATGACAGACAGAGAAGAGGCAACACAAAGATTCATCTGAATACATCTGAATGAATAGTAATAATTAAAATATAGTTATGGTAAAAGAAAACCGTTTAATTCAATGTGTAGCAACCACTGAACGGAGGAGACTAAAATATTCAAGGATTGTATCAAAGATGGCCCATTGAGGTGAAATAAAGGAGATGTGTCCACAGTCCAGCTCTGATGTTCAAAGAGAATACATAGAAAGAGTTGGCCTGACTGAGGAATTCCAATAAACCGTTGAGTTAAAATGAAGAGACGAGATCAAGTGCAGTACATACTGCAGCCATATTCCATAAACATTTCTAATCACAGAAATGACTTAGAACCTTAAGGCTTCTCTGCAGGTCGTCACCCAAGATAAATAATCCAGAGTGTTTCTGCAGATGGACGTTTTTAACAGCAGACAGTTTCCTGGTAGAAGGAAAAGCACAGCTGTCAAAAGCATTAACGGTGGCTCTGCAAGGCAGGTGGCCCCTCATGATGTTTACTTTGATTACTTACACCTGTGTTTTTCCTACTGTGGTATGTCAGAACGCCTTCCAGGAAAAATACCGTTTGTGTTTTTTTTGTCAGTAAAATGTCTTCATCTTATTCAAAGGTGTCGCATAAAGTTACATAACAAATATTCTGCCATGATTTTTGCCCCCAACATTGTCATGTCCTTTTTTTATACCTGAATTGCAGTTTACAATATAAAATTCAATTTACACTCATTTTTGTTCTTTAATTTGAAAATGAGTCCAAAAAAAGCATAAATCATAAAAATACAGTTCAGAACGATTGTTTCACTTGAACTTTATTCTGGACAGAAAAGGTAGGAATAGGTTTTTGACCATGTAGGGAAACTCTGTGGCACTGCTTCTAAATAAGCAATTACATTCACCAAAAACTATATATATATATATATATCTGAACAGTTAAATTAATTTATTAAGTGTGGAAAAAACAACTAAATAGCAAAACAAAAATAACAGACTATTTAGTGGGGTCTGCTCTGTAGCGTAGCCTGAACTAATGATCTCCATATTTGGAAATTGTTGGGCTGCAGACCGGATGGCAGGTAAATATTTTAAAATACATAAACATCTGCTTGATCATTGTTCATTGAATGTGTTCTCTGATAATAAAACAAAACAAAGCATTTAAAAATACAATATGACATGCTTTATTAAAAGACTCATCCACTTTTTTTGTATTGCACAAGGATGTTTTCAACCATCCAAGATCAAACCATATTTGATGATGCAGAAGATCTATGACAGAAGTCCCAGGTGTTTTTGCTTTTACTGACGAGAGCATAGTGTGGATATTTGATGAAAAAAAATACTCAGGAATGTGTAAGTAATGTAACAGCAGTGCAAAAGATGTGCAGAAGCAAAAGGAATTCTTTGTAGTGCCACCGAAAAAAACAAATGTCTTTCACCAAAACCAACTTTTGCACGAACAAAAATCCATTCACCCTAATATGTCCTAACCATTATTATCAATCTGTAGCCGAAGCAGAAATAAAGCAGACTCTATCTATCAAAAGCAGAGAAAAACTAATATCCTTCAAACAAAATACAAAAAAACATTCATTTAAACCCTAACCAACGACAGGTGTACTCCTAAAATATGAACACATATACAAAATCAGATCTAAAAATCATTTCATGTAAACAAATGATTCTCCTCAGTAACTGAGCTTATTTCTTGCTTTACAACTTGTCCTTCATAGACGTGACTTACCGGCTGTGGCATGAACGAGTGACGATGTCTGTGTCCAAGGTAGTACCTGTACCAATAAAGTGCTAATACACCACAGACAGCATGCTCAGGTTACAGTATACATTGCCTCTACTCTGTGACCAAAATATACTGGTGTGATAGAAAAACAAAAACAACAAAAGAATATGGTTCTCCAGGCGTTTCACCACATTGCCTTCTAAAAGGTTTTTTTTCAGACCTATTAAATTTGTCATAGCTTTGGTATTTATTAATATCATTAAAAATCACAGTGTGATGATTTACCGAAACGCCGTCCCCTGTAAGAAGTTACAGTTTTGCACCAAAATAAATATTCCTGGTAAAGCAGCAGTCGCTCCAGTTTTGCCACTGAGGCGATCACCTTTGATTCAGCAATTAAAACCTTCCTCTGAAAATAAAAATCACAAGCCTGGTCCCACAGATTAAGCATACTTCATTCCAACGCTTCCAAATTCTCAGCAAGATATAAATGACAGTAAGAAGAATACAGAAAGCTATAAATACAATAAATAGTTTTGTTCAGTACTGAAAGGGACTGTGGGGGAGAACAGACCCCAGGGTCAAACAGTCTTCTTGTCTTTAAAACAGAGCCTCATTTCAAGCCCGACGGTCTTTTGGTCTGGTGGTGTAACCGAGAGATACATTCATTCACTACAAGGCAGCAGTGGAGGATGTGCGAGTCTCGCGGCGCTTCTCTCTCTCTGACTGTAAGCTCCATCCCGTCCTCTGAGAGAGGGTCTGTGGGGATGCAGCGGGCTCTCCTCCTCGAGCTGTAAACCGGCAGCTCCTAGATCTTGGTGACATAGTTGTTGGGGAAAAGTCCCTGCTTTCCACGAAGTCGTCCTATCCACCACCCGGATGCATCTACCCAACAAACGTGACTAGATTAGAGGCCCATTTCAAGCTGATATCTGACGCAAACATTCAAGTACATTTCAATATCACGGAAATAAAAAAGATTTCACAAAAGCAAGCCATCTTACCCTCTTTGATGATGTCAATAAGTTCGTCAGCATTGAAGCTGAGCTCGTCTGTGTCCTGAGCGTCGTAGGCGTATAAAGCTTTGCACTGGGGCACCTGTGGTTTGGGTTTGGGTGCAGGTTTGGGTCGCCCTCCTCCCGGCGCAGGCCTGCTGGCTGACGGTCTGTGGGCTCTGAGGCGTTACAAGAAAAAAAAAAAAAAAAAAGAGGGAAACCACACGACGGTCAACATCTGCAAGAAGGTGCCTCAGTGGGAAAAGTTCAGTTCACTGTGCTGCAGTTGGCTGTGAAGTTAAGTCAGAAGAAGCTGTTTGTAGGTGTGGTGTTTTCTGTGTGCATAAATCACCATCTTGTCATGTAAAAACATTTTGACTCCAATTAGATTTTTCCACATCTGTCAGAACCACACTGTGATCAAATTGTGTTTTTTATTTTCACCTGAGAGTGAGTGTAAGTTTTGTGTTCATAATGCCTCCTGCTCGATTGTGTTGCTGTTCACAAATCAGCCACAAGATGGTGATTGACTGCACACTATCTTTCACAAACGCACCGAGACTAGAAAACGTTTACATTTCAGGAAGCCTTTCAGAGTAGAGAGTGTTGATCCAGAGTCAGCGGTACCTTTAAGATTTCTGTTTATTATTCTGTATACTGGCTGTTCTCATTTATTATGAATACTGTATATACAGTACATCCTCTTTTAAAACCAGTTTGTCACACAATGCCAAATGTAAAATTTAAGGATGAACAACTCAACTCAACTGTTCAACTAACTGAGGATCAAATACATCAGAACAAATGACGTGGCAATAGTTAGATATTACATATGCAATATATGCATTTATAAGGTAAAACAGTTACACCTCCCAGTGAGATTTGTGTTCATGAAAGCAACTTCCATCTTCAACGTTCATCTCTTTGATAAAAATGAGGCATCAGAAGAAGTGCACAGCAGGAATTCTTTCATTACAAAAACCTATTAAAGGATCTTTCATCCATAAATGAAAGATCTATTGTACTAAGATGAATTGTACAAGAATTCCCATTTGATATCAAAGGAATTGAGCAGCAGCAGAGAATTAAATATTAGTTGCGGACTACAGTCGGCTCCTTCAGAGAGTTTGAACTTTGCTTTCTTTGCAGTCAAAAAAACAAAAAGTACATGAGAAGAAGCATCAACATATCCTGCTGCTGAAAGTTTTTCTAGTCTTTAACCACCACCCAAAACACTGCAAACTCTCCAACTCACATTCCTCCATTTGAAGTTGGCCGTCTGTCTCCATTGCTACAAAAGAATAAATCATCCACATTATGCCAAATTATAGAAACACAAGTGTGTGCATTAGAGTGTGTGGGAATATTAAAATAAATATGTGTGTGCATGTGATGCGAGCCACTGCACCATACTGCCTCAAAACCTCATCACATTCAGCAGTTATATACACATTGTAGAAAGAAAAGTAGAAATGATCTTTTTTGTACCATTATGTTTACTAGACACAGGAATGTTAAATACCTAACGGGAGAGAGCTTTACGTGTGAACTAAATGCTACACGGTGGAGTCATATTCGGCTGAATGATAATTAGCAGCATACATCAGCTATTAAAGTGGTCTCAGGATACAATTGTGTTAGTCATACTCGTCAGATTCCCTGTAATGGAAATAGAAAAGGGCGTCTGGCCTTTTGGGAAAATGACAATCAATGCTTTTCAGGCAATTAACATCCCAACACCACAGAACAAACAAACAAAAACAGAGCATTTCAGCAGCATTCACTCAAATCACACACTTTTAGGCAGTGAGACACTAACACATGATTCTGGTGGGTTTTTTTGACACAAGATACCAAAAACAGCTCCAAAGAGGCAAACAACTGTCTAAGTCTCACAACTATCTAAGACAGTTAGGAAGAGTTATCACAGGAAGGGTTCACTGATGCTGCACTCAGTGTAAATTGATCCACCTTTGGACAAGTCCTTATTCCTGACACGTCATCTACGTGCATGTGTGTGTGTTATTTTGTCTGCTCCTGTATTTACTGTGTGGTTGGTGTGTTTTAATTGACTGTGTTTTGTGCCAGTGTCTCACCCTGCAGCTCCTTGATCAGGCACCTTCAGACAGTCCAGGTTGGGCTGCGGCCGGCTGCCGCCTCGCTCCTTCAGCTGGTTGCCGTTGCTGGGCAGGAAGGGGCGTGTCGCGTTGCCGGTCGGGGGATTCCTCTGGTTGTGATGCTGGGAGTTCCTCTGATTGGCTACGTGGTTGATGCTTTTAGGGCCACCATTCTGGTGAGCAACTGCAGCCAAAAAAAAACAGAAGAAGATTGTTTTAGACAGTCCACATGGATGCAAGAGAAGCCTGTTCAGATCCTGTGAGATTGTGGATGTACCTGGAGGTCCCGGCGCCGCCCTCGAGGGGGTGTTCTGGTGAGTTCTGGATGCATTGGAGCGAACCTGAGAGAAGCTCTTCCTAGTGGGGCCTGAGGATGAAAGAAATAAAGACGAGAGGGGATACATTAATGGAATGTATGAATAGTTTAGGTTGTATCTGAAGTGGATGTGTAAAATTTCGAGATGGGACAGAGACATTTCTGTTAAAGTCCCGAGAAGTTCAAAAAAAGTTGTTTCAGTGAGATCATCAGACTTTTAAACTCTTTTCAAAGGTAACACCAACAGATTAATAATACTAATTCATGCTTTTTAAAGTTTGTGTTATATGGAATAAAAAAAAAAAAAATATGCATATATATGCAAAAATATATGAAATGAGATGCAGGCTATTTTAAAGAAAAACTTCCATTCAAACAACAAGATATTATCTATTGTGGCTCTCACAGTCACTCCTTTCTCTCTACAAACACAGCATATGTCCTTACGTCCATAACGTTGCATTAATTCATCACATATGCTTCTATAGGTTTATATTCGTAACACTCAGACGTCTGTGCTGTCTCTGAATATGACACCAACTGCTTTCAAGTGTTCCGAGTCATGAGGCTGAAATCCAAGTGATGAGTAAACTTTTGATAAGATTTTCTGACTTCGTCAAATTCATGGGTCGACTTCATCGTGTGCCTTGATTCCACCCCTCAGGTTAACGTAATCACATCTGGCTGTGAGAACGAGGTCATTGCTGTACTTTGAGTCTGTAAATACTCACGCGTGTTCTTCGGAAGCCCGGGGCCGACGCTGACCTGCAGAGCTTTGCTCGAAGGCTTCAGTACTGGCATGTCTCCCTGACCCCCAACGAAGAGGACCTGCCGGGAGCCGCCCCCACTCAAGAAGCCCCAGTTCTCCTTCTTCAACTTCATCTCCAGTCTGAGGGACAAAAAAATAAAGTTTTGTAGAGCACAAGACAAAACAACGCTCTCTTTTAAGTCCCTGGGACTTCTTTTGGTCATTATTTTTGAAATGTTTCACTCTGCTTAACCAGTGGTTTTGAAATGCTGACTTATTAGCAATGAGGGTTTATTACCAGTCAGATTTAAGTTCTAATTAATGAAGTTAAACTCAATAAGTTAAGTTATTGACTGTGGTTGATTTATTGTCAGAACGTTAGCGTGTGTTTACTTACGTGTTACTAAACTTGAGAGGTAGCTTCCTCTGGGTTTTCTCCTCAAACCTGCGGGCCAGTAAGCTGATGAACTCCGTCTTGAAGACGCACTCCAGCAGGCTGTCGTACTCCTGCTCGTGCACGATCATGAAATCATCCTGCATTGTACTGCAAAAAACATGAACATGACACTTAAAACTCAAAATCCTCGTATCCGCTGAGACATGACGCAAATCTCACTGAAGAAAAAAACGCATTCACAAGTTTGTTTTTAAAAATGTTTTAAAGACACTCCGCTGCAGCTGAACTGCTCCGTTTTGATGGAAGTTAAGATGGAGAGTCAGAATCATCTTTCACATTTGCATAGACACAGAGGGGGGGCTCACAAAGCGGCTCACATCTGAAGAGGGAAGACAGCTTGTGCCCGTTACCCACACAAGGATACTTTGTTGCTCTCAAAGAGGTGGAGTTTTTCTCTGATGAGCTTCTTACAACTCCTGCTTTCGCTCATTGCACCACCTGGTCCATATTACCCCGCTGACTCAAAAGCCACATGCTCTGATTTCTACCTCTAAAACAAGATATACCGCGTTCCCATCAACAACAAAGAGTCTCTCAGTTCTTTGTATTATTTCTTTCCATTTCTTTGTAGTCAACTCGCCGACATTCTTTCATGAGAATGTTTTTGACTGCATATGATTTAGCAACATTTGTGAGATGTTGACCATCAGTCAGGCCTGCACACAGAGGGACAGACACACAGACGTATATACAACACAGACAGGTTTAACATACTCCACATGTTTTCATTGTCCCGTGAGTGACATTGACAGGAACATGGGAACTTATGTGAATGGAAACCCAGACTGCGTCTTTGAAGTAGATTCATGACTTTCTGCAGTGCAATGTGTACAGATTATATGGTGGGCCCATGCTTCATGTTGAGCCGCCATTGTCTTGTTTTGGAAACAACTAATTACGTACTGCTATACTCGTACACAGAGATGTTATGCTCACAACAACAGAATAATCTTGTGCCTTGTGTAGCTATACAGTTTATGGTATGTCGTGAAAACGCATTCATTGGTGGCGGACTGTGTTGATATTTCCGTTTAGTCATTAGCACCCATAACGCCTCTAGAGAGCTCTGGGTCCCAGTGAGGACTGTGTGAATCAAGACATGAGCTTCAAAGTAAAAGCATGGGCAAGTTTCACTGTATTCAGCAGAGTGGGATGGAGTTTGCAAGTTTGCATCTAACTTTAAACCCTTTTTTCCGAAGGAACCCTATCCGAGAGAAATACCAAGAAACATGTTGTTGCTCCGTTGCAAAAAAGTTGAATGCACATCTGATAAATGTCATTAGAGTATATTGCCATGTACTGCAAGTCTTGGTATTTAGGCACTGTTTTTATCCTAT